AGTGAAGATATATAATGCATGGCATTCTATATTATACTATTCACAGTTTAACCCCCATTTTCAATCAGATTTTTTTTAGAATCAATAGGCTTCATCGGCTCATAAAGCTTGATTTTGCCTAAAGATTTTAATTTGATATCGGTTTTTGTTTCTGAGTTAAGATTTTTTTTCAATATTTCAACCCCCCCTTATCTCCCCATTTTTATTAATTTATTCATTCCCTTATAAAGCTTGATTCCATGTTCATATCGCTTTTGGATTTTTTAGTTTCAACCCCTTGATCGCCATTTTATTAGATTTTTTAAAATAAATAGGCTTTGTCCCCTTATAGAGCTTGATTTCTGCTAAAAATTTCAAGTTGATATCATTTTTCGTTTTTGATTTATGATTTTTTTTATTTCAACCCTCTTAACCCCTCATTTTTATTTAGATTTTTTCAAAAACAAATGCTTTGTCCCCATATAGAGTTTCATTTTTGCCAAATATTTCAAGTGTATAATATTGTTTATTTTTGAATTAGGATTTTTTGAATATTTTAAGCCCCCTTAACCCCTCATTTTTATTTATTTATTTTCACTAAAAATTTCATGTTGATATCACTTTTCGTTTCGTTTTTGATTTATGATTTTTTTTATTTCAATACCCCTAACCCCCCATTTATAATCAGATTTTTTTAAAATCAATAGGCATTATCCCCTTATAGAGCTTGATTTTGGCAAAAAGTTGTTATCATTTTTCGGTTTTGAGTTAGAATAGGAGTTTTTTAATATTTCAAAGCCTTCTTTCATCCAACATTTTTTCATCCAAATAAATTTTTTTAATCCAACTTTTTTTATCTCACGTTTTTTCATTTAATGTTTTTTCATTCAACATTTTCTCAAAGTTTCTTCATACAATTTTTTTTCATGCGACAATTTTTGATTTAAAATTTTTTCAACCAACATTATTTTAATGCCAATTTTTCATGCAAAATTATTTCGTTGAAATTTTTCTTATTCAAAATTGTATCCTCCAACATGTTTTCATACAAATTAAAGGTGTTTTCATTTTATTATAATTGTCGATACCATCGTTCAATTTTATTTTAAACTTTATTCTGTACCACCATTACTTGAAAAATGTACTTTTGTGGATACAAATTTTTACAAACCTTATCAAACCTCTGGATGGATAAACTTTGTTTATTCTTTAATTGTCTAACATTTCATAATTTGCCTGATGATGGACAAATATGCAGAAACTAGTTTCCCCGTTGAATTTTAAATTATATTTTGGTATCGATTCTAAATGAATTCTGGAAAATGTATGAAGTGGCATGGTATTGTATTTAAGCGATATCCCACGATTTTAAAATATTGCAACAATAAATTCCCTAATAAAGCAAGGGACAGAAACGTCATATATGTGTCAGTTTGAAACTAAAATTATTACATACAATTTTGTTTGTATATCAGTTTTTAATTATTTTCTGAGTATTAAACATCATGTTGTTTTAATTAATAATCGCGTTTGGTGATAATCGCCTTTCTTTTTCAAAAAATATACAGTTATGTATTACCCAGTGGCGGTTTCTCCATTCTTTCATTTGTGCAGTGAACACCCAGCTACATTTCATAACAACACATTATTTTAAAATAAATAACATAAAAATATTAAATCAATTTTAATAATTTTATTTTTTTCATACGTATAAATATCTATTTTTGGGTACGCCACGCTCTCTGGCTAATAGCGTTTCCGTAGCGCTCTTTTATAAGTGTGCCCAAGGGAGTGAGAAGTGTTCTCGAAAGTCTTTAGCTTAAAAGAAAACTCACACAGATCCGTGAAACGTAGTGAAACAAACAAAATCACTTAAATTAACTTAATTTGCGCAACGCACACAGTGACGTCACAAAGTAGGGCAGGGCATACGAACTTTCCAATCATTGATATAAAATAAAGAGGAGATGCTATCATGATACTTAAAGTGTCCGCACAGTTTTACGTCATATATCAAATTGAAGTTAGTCAGTTTTAGTGAGACTAAATATCTTTTTTTTTTAAATAGCATAACTTAAATAATATAAAAACACTTTCATTCAGTTAATCTTCAAAGATAAAATTATTTACGTCAAATTAATCAAAATACGACTCAAAGTGCGTTCACTTGTCATATCGCAAAAATAGTGTTTATAATATCTCGATGTTTCTAATCAAGCTGTCAAATTCACCATAAGACAAATTTATTTCTGTTTATTTAAAAACCGTGTTTAAATAAAGTCGTGAATTTAATAAATCGGACGTATGTGTGTCAATTCAATGATTGCTAACGAAACACGTCTCCAAGCTCCAGGTAAAACATTTACTATTATTTTTGGGGTTATGTTGTTTATTTATATTTAGTTTCGTTCCAGTTTCTACAAAATAGTCATGTATTTTATACCCAACTCTAAAACAGAAAACTGCGTGAATGGATATAATGTCATCGGTACTCTTTTATAGGAAAGCCATCAAAATTAAGCGATGACAGTTCCATCAAGAAATGGGCTCTTATGGCAATGATATAAAGTAGGTAACTTTAAACAGATCTTAGATTGCAGTTGCCAGCCAAGAAAAATCATTGTACATTGTATCACAAGGTATTTCACAAGTATAACAATTTTATTATACATTTTATTTGAACAAGGATAATTTCTTGACCCTAGTATAATTTTGTATGATAAATAGTTTTATTTTATGGATTGTCCCGAATGAATTTAAAGTTATAGAAATATGTCCTATCTGTAAATGCTAGAGGTACTGATAAACAGTGTTAGACTGATGAAGTGGTGAGGATTTTACTCGAATGATGGTGTCGCATACATTTACAAAAATATGGAAGCTAAATTTAAATTACAGTTTTTCTTAAAGACGATACAAAAAATAAATATTGCACTTGGCTAAATTAATTCAAGAAACCAAATAGTTGTGTCTATGTTAGGTATGTACCTATATCATGAAATATTTACCGATATCAGTAACTGGGAGATAAACTGAACTATGTCGTACTACTTATAGAGGCATGTTGGAGGTATAATATGACACTATGCAATAAAAAATTGTTATCAAAACAGAAATATGTTACCAAAAGTAACAATTCATGTGTATTAAAAAAAGTTTCAGTAGTTAGATTATTAGTAAACAATACATATGTGACAATAATTGGGGCTAACTGCATTTCTTGTCGAAATTGATATATGCAAATATGGAACATGGAACAGAAAAGTGTCCAAAAGAGTATATTATACGTTTCTTTGTCTGCACGATAAGTCAAAAACGAAAAATGATATCAACTTGAAAATTTTAAGCAAACATCAAACTCTATAAGGAGAAGCCCTTTGATTTTGAAAAAAAAATCTGATTAAAAATGGGGGTTTAAGGGGGGTTGAAATTAAAAAAAAAAATCGTAAATCAAAAATGAAATGCGAAATCAAAATGAAATTTTTAGTAAAATTAAGCTCTATAAGGAGATGAGGCCTATTTATTGTGAAAAAAATTTGAATAAAAATGTGGGGATTTTAAGGGAGGTAGAAATATTTAAAAAAATTCTAACTCAAAAACGAACAATAATATCAACTTGAAATTTTTGGACAAAATCAAGCTCAATAAGGGGATGAAGCCTATTGATCTTATTGAAAATGGGAGTTAAGGGGGTTTGTTAAACTGTGAAGAGTATAATTTAGAATGCCACGCATTATATATCTTCATTCTAGTTTATATCTGGGTAATGTTATGTATTGTGATGGGACTAATCTTATAAAATAAACATTTTAGTTCACTTGGTTGATTTGCCAATAAAAGGTATTTAAAAAATATATTATTTTACTTGACATGTGTGACAAATTGTGAAAATGATTAAATTTACAATAAAAACCGAAAAATTTTCATATAATATTTTTTACACAAAAATCAATGTCAAGCTTTGTACATGACCCGATATATATTTAAAAATGATCTCAAAACATGAACAAAAATCAGGTGACTATAACTAATAACGTTTATAAATGAAAACAAAACAAATATTACAATAACTAAAATATTCATTAATAGTTGTAGTGCTTGCAAACATTATGATATTGATAATAATAACTACACTAAATATAAATCCAAATATTAAAGTTCCAAATTACCTCTAACTCATAAATATCATCTGAACGAAAAATGCTGTGAATTACAATAATAAATTGAACAGACGCTGCTGCAACGTTTTCACCCCATGTTGCAGCTGTCACGAGCGACAACAACCGCGTACATTATAAGAAAATCAAAACACGTTAACGCGAGACCGGTAGTTCCAAATAAGGTACAGTTTTTGCTGAGTTTTAATTCATCACACCCTGATGAAATAAGTTTTTCTACGATGCCTAGTTACCTAGATGAAATGGGAAAGTTATAAAAACAATATGGAGAAATGTAATATGAGTTTGGAATAAAAAGTTTAGAGGAAATTAAAAACTTAGGTTTATTTCAGGAACAATTTTTTTAATTTCTATTTAACATACATCACTGTATAGTTTTTCTATTTATAGAGTGAGAAAAATACCGCATTTATATATTATTCTAACACGAAATATAGGTAGGTAGGTAGGTAGGTATAGATTAGTATATACAATATTTATTTATTTTCAGAAACAAACAGGCATTAGCTTAATTACATGTTTCTATAATATTATTAACAAAAAAAAGAAATCAACAAAAATACACAATATATAATTAATAAACTTAATTTTGTTTATATTAAACAAATATCGCTACTAAAATAATAACTAGAAACTCCAGGGGAGGGACATGGTGGCCATGTTCCCCCCTCCCCGTAAATTTTTTACAGTTAATAAGCCTTTTATTAAAAAAAAGAAAGCATTGGATTTATTATTCGTTATATTTAATTCTTTACAACGAGATTTCAATAAAAAATAATTTAGTTAATGAAACTCCAAAGTGCTATAATGAAAACAAAATAATGTAAAATGTAACAGTTACGTCCAAAAGCTTGTAAGTAGTCCGCTAACTTCATTTGCAAAACTATTGGGTAAAGACCGATTCATTCAGTCACATGAAAACACAGCTTACCACAAAATATGTGTTCAGGCTGGCATGGATTTCCTACAAACCTACCATAACCCGGGAAAGTCAGTTGAAAATCAGATATGTATTCAAAGGCTAAAACAGGTAAAAGAAAATAAAGAGAGATTACGCCCAATAATAGAATCAATACTGTTCTTAGGTCGACAAAACATTCCTCTAAGAGGCCATCGAGATGAAGGCTGCCTGGGCCCAGTAATGAGGGCAATTTTAGAGAGTTATTGAGATTTAGAATTTCTTCAGGAGATACAAATCTAAAACAACACTTAGCTACAGCCTCTTCAAGGGCAACGTATGTAGGAAAAAACACCCAAAATATATTGATAAAATGTTGTGGTGACGAAATATTAGAAACCATACTAAATCAAGTTCGGGAGGCAAAATATTATTCAGTGTTATTTGACGAAACTACAGACGTTTCCCACACGGAACAACTTTCTTTAAATTTGAGATATGTATACAAAAACAACATTCATGAAAACTTTGTCAAATTTATTGACGCATATGAAAAAATTAAAACCGTCAGTCCAGATAATGATACGCTTGGTGAACAGCGACTAACTGGAAAGGCTCTAGTAAAAATTGTTGTTAATATATTGCAGGAACTGTCTCTAGAGTTAAGCAACTGTGTGGGAATTGGTACTGACAGTTGCAGTGTAATGTCGTCTGAAGCAGTGGGAGCAGTGTGTGAAATACAGAAAAAAGCGAAAAATGCATGCAGGTGCCCTTGCATAAATCATGCCCTAAACAACTCTCTTTCGACTTCAGTAAACGTTGTTTGCATCAGAAATGCAGTTGAAGTAATGAAGTCAGAAGTTCTTTAATATGCCGGCTAAGAGAAACCAAGTCTTGAAATCAACATTAGGACATCAATTAACGAGTCTGTGCAAAACAAGGTGGGTTGAGCGTCACGAAGGAGTAATTCAATTTCGATCTGAGTTTTCTCAAATAGTTAAAGCACTTACGTTAATTTCGGTATGGAAAGATGCAAAGACTTCTACAATTGCAACAACTCTGCTAAACTCTTTGTGCACGACTGAGTTTTTGTTGTCAATGTTATCTCTCATTGATATTTTAAAAATAACATTATCACTCAGCCGACTTCTTCAAATGTCAAATCTTGACGCTAACGGGGCTTCTACAGCTGTGTCCAACACCATGTCAACAATCAATGAAAAAAGAAAAAATTGTGAGCAGAATTTTGACAAAATTTATAAGGAGGCTACAGAAGTAGCAACAGGATTAGATATTGAAATAAAGCTGCCTAGATTAGCAGGTAGGCAGACCAAACGAGAAAACTACCCTGAAGGTAAAGATGAATATTACAGAAGATCAATTTATATTCCTCTCTTCGACAATGTATCCAACGACTTGTCTTCTAGGTTACGTTTTAGTTCCTTAGATTGTTTTGGTCTGCGAGGAATCATTCCTAGTATACTAGCCAAGGCAAACAGAGATAATGAAACTATTTTTATTAAAAATTTGGAAACTGCCTATGAAAATTTTTCCAATATCATTGGTAGCAGAGACATCCAGACAAACAGTATTCTGTTTGAAGGAGAACTGACCCTTTGGAAAAATCATTGGAAGTCGGAAAAAGAGAAAAACAAGAAACTTTCTGGAGATATTATAGAAGTATTAGATTCCTTCGATTTAAATATATCTCCAACAATCCGCAATCTTCTCAGAATCTTGGCCACACTTCCAGGTAATTTGAACACAGTAATATAATATATAAATGACTAATATATTTCCTATCTCTGTTTGTGTACTTTATAAACCATACTAATTATCATTTTACTTTCAGTGAGTGTGGCTACGGCAAAAAGGAGTTTTTCAACATTACGAAGAGTAAAGACTTGGTTAAGGGCGAGGATGGGAGAAGAACGGCTCACAGGTCTCTGTCTGCTTCACGTTCACAGAGACGTTACAGTTGACATTGAAAAAGTCATCGAAAGATTTGCTAAAAATGGGAATAGACCACTTGAGTTCATTTTGTAAAGAATCTAATTATTATTATTATTATTATTATTTTTAGTTTTGTTAATAAAGGTTTCGTAGATTTTTTGACTGGATATACTACAAAAATTAACATAAAATACATTAATAGTTATTTATGCAACAAGTGCAAAAGGTAAGTGTTTATTGCACGCGACGTGAAATTGTCCAACGAGGCAGTCAGGCCGAGTTGGACAACACGTCGAGTGCAATAAACACTTTTTGCACGAGTTGCATACAATATATTTTCTACGTTCATGAAAAAACAAAAAAATATTTTATAGAACTGCAGTTGTATTATCCAAATCATAGTAGCCGTGATCGTGTACCTTTGTTTGAGGCATTTATTTACGTTTGTGTTCATAATTTGTAATGACATTTTTAATAAAATACATTTTTTTATTAATTTATTTATTAAATAATTGAAAATAATATAAAATATGCAATTGTTTTTAAAACGTAACACAGAAAATGAAAATAGACTAAAAGTTGGGGTTAATTTTCAAAGAGTGGTAAAATTAAAAAATAATTTAAACGTCATTTGAAGGGTACTGGACTCCCAATAATAATTGTTTCCGATTTATTTTCTTATCTTTTGAAATAAGGGAGATATTGCATTTTTTTTTAATTTGGTGTCATCGGCATCAACTGCTAAGGTTATTAGCCTCGTGTTCTGTGTAGGCTTTGTTACTGTTTCTCAGCGCCACTTTAGGAACAGCACTGTTAATTAGAACCCAACAGTGAATGGTCGAGTGGGGAATCCTACCAAGGCATCAGAATTAATTTTAAATAATTAAATTAAATGAAAAAATCCCGGCCAACGGTGGGATTCGAACCTGGGACCCTTGGATCCACAGGCAGAGACTCTACCACTGAGCCACCCTCCCCCCTATTAGCGATAACTTGGGACACTCTGTATATTATACAGATTTTATTCGTGAATGAGAAACGCAATTGGCTGGAAATGTTTATCTCAATTTATTATTTTTTTCATTACAGGTAAAGCTAGTATAAAGGGTAGCATAATACGGGTAGAATGAGTATTAAATATGATCCATAAAAGCCCGAAATTTAATAAAAACATTTCATATTTCGGATTTTTCCGGGTTAACAGCGTTTTATGAAAATAATTTAGTCTATCAAACGAAATTTTTTATTATTAAATTACTTTGAGTAAATATTAGGAATTTCGCCCATTTTGTAAAATTTTTAATAAAAAAAAAATCAACTTCCCTCGATATATAAATTGTAAAAACTCCTAAACACTTTTACGAACGTGACGAAGAACACCGAGCGGACGCGAAGTTAGAGTTCGGTTCGGATCAAGAAGATGATCGAGAAAACCTTTTTTCGCCGTTATTGAATGATAATGATTGGCTGCTTTTAAAGTGGTCCAGTTACACAAACCAAAAGGACGCTTTTTATTATTTCCACTTAACGGGGTTCTTTTTTCATTAAATATGGCCTCTTCTCAATGAAAGTTAAATCAGATTAAAATTTATCAAGTTTCATACGGAGTAACAATTTAAAAATTACAATAGCTATATCACATGAACTAAAGAGGATATCAAAGAAATAAAACCTATAAAAACAATTTATTTAGTACTTCTTCCTGGATAAGAAATATTTTATTCAAATAACCATGACATCTTCTTTTTAAATAGATTTTTTAATTATTATGTACTATTGAACCACCCTGTGTAGGGCATATTATATTGTTAAAAAGCATTTTTTACTATTTTTTCAATATTGTATGACATGTAGGGTGTTATTATTTAATACTTCTTCCTGGATAAGGAATATTTTATTCAGATAATCATGCCATCTTCTTTTTAAATAGATTTTTTAATTATTATGTACTATTGAACCACCCTGTGTAGGGCATATTATATCATTAAAAAGCATTATTTACTAATTTTTCAATATTGTATGATATGTAGGGTGTTATTATTTAATACTTCTTCCTGGATAAGGAATATTTTATTCAGATAATCATGCCATCTTCTTTTTAAATAGATTTTTTAATTATTATGTACTATTGAACCACCCTGTGTAGGGCATATTATATCGTTAAAAAGCATTTTTTACTAATTTTTCAATATTGTATGACATGTAGGGTGTTATTATTTAATACTTCTTCCTGGATAAGAAATATTTTATTCAGATAATCATGCCATCTTCTTTTTAAATAGATTTTTTAATTATTATGTACTATTGAACCACCCTGTGTAGGGCATATTATATCGTTAAAAAGCATTTTTTACTAATTTTTCAATATTGTATGACATGTAGGGTGTTGTTATTTAAAACTTCTTCCTGCATAAGGAATATTTCATTCAGATAATCATGCCATCTTCTTTTTAAATAGATTTTTAATTATAATGTACTATTGAACAACCCTGTGTAGGGCATATTATATCGTTAAAAAGCATTTTTACTAGTTACTCAATATTGTATGACATGTAGGGTGTTGTTATTTAATACTTCTTCCTGGATAAGGAATATTTTATTCAGATAATCATGCCATCTTCTTTTTAATTATTATGTACTATTGAACCACCCTGTGTAGGGCATATTATATTGTTAAAAAGCATTTTTTACTAGTTTTTCAATATTGTATAACATGTAGGGTGTTGTTATTTAATACTTCTTCCTGGATAAGAAATATTTAATTCAGATAATCATGCCATCTTCTTTTTAAATAGATTTTCAATTATTATGTACTATTTAACTACCCTGTATAGGCCATATTATATCATTAAAAAGCATTTTTACTAGTTTTTCAATATGTAGGCTATTCATATTTTTTTTATGAAATCAGTGGCGCATAGCAGGTTGATAAAGTGAGTTCTGTATCTTATTCATATCTTAGGAACGATTTTAGATATTTTCTGACATCATCTTCACATAATCACATCTACCTAAAAGATCCGTTTTGGGACCCTTGTTCTTTAGTGTGTTTATTAACGCCATCTCAAAAATTACAGTGTAAAACAATCCCAATGACGTAAAGCTGTACATCTAAATTCAATTGGAAAATGATACTATTGTTTTACAACGGGATTTGGAAATTGTCTTTAATTGGTACGTCGGTAATTTCTTGAACCTAAATATAAACAAGTGTTTTAGTTTTAATTATTATAGAAAAAACTTCCCATACTATTTCGACTACAAAACTAATAACTTCAAAGTGTTGACCTTTGATCGACATCTTTCGTTTAATGTTCACATTGAAAATACAATCCTTTCAGCTCACAAAATGTATGGGCTAGTACTTAGAAGATGTAAGGGTTTCACGGATATTGATAGATTTATGCTTTTATTTTTCGCATGTATCAGAAGTTAACTTGAATACGCCTCCTTAATTTGGTAACCGGGTTATAATACTTACTGTTCAATGTTAGAAAATATCAAGAGAAAATTTCTCAAATATTTATATTTGATGGAAAATTACAATTAACTACCTTTTCGCTTCTCTTATGACAATCTATTTAATCATTATTCTGTTTTTTATCTTCAAATTCTCTTACCTTACACAAACTAATTAATTCCAAAATAGACTCCTCTGAAATCTTAAATTTAATTAACTTTTGTGTTCCGCGTGAAAATTAATACCCCGAATTTGATAGAAAAACATTGGTTACTTTTACGACTCGTTTTTCTCCGTGTAGGTACATTGAATCAGTCGTCACAATCACATATTAAAAAAAATTCGTTGTTTACTTGTACATAGTTAGCTAGTACACAAAAGTACGCCTAAAAATAGGTACAAAAATTGATTAGCAGCTGCAATTTTTATATCTAGAACATTATATAATTTAACGATGAGAGACTACTTTCGTAGCGGAAACATTCAGTCGGATGCAAAGTCAACTCTCTGGTTAGATTTAACAATCTATTTCCTAAATTAAGCTCTCGGCTACTTTAGATGATATTGTTGTTTGCTGTGACCAAATCGACGCATTTGAGTATGCATATTATCATAATAAAGTTCATTGGAAGCGACAGCACTGATTTCTCAGTAAAAACAATCAAACCAATTGCGTCAAAGCGAAATATAACCTTTTAAAATAAATTTTACTATGTATTAATTTAGTTTTTACTAAAGGACAATAGTCGAAGGTGTAATAATGTCACGTAGGTTTCGGGGGGAAGTAGTTACTCAGATTGGTTTCTGACGACGCCATAATGGTTAAACAAGGTCTGCTCAAGGCAAAACAAAACCTGGAGAGGGGTATTTATTGTGATTACTTCATTCTAAATATGTATAACTGCTTTTTGGAAAGATAAATGCAATTACCAAATAAAAATAAAACACTATTTTAACCACAAAAAGATTTCATATATTGTGCTATAAAAAAACCTATAATTATCTAAAATATGATTAGACTTATGATATTATAGTTATGACAGTTTCTATTATTATTATTATTATTATTATTATTAATTATTATTATTATCTCAGGACGTCCAAAATTGAAAACTTTTTAGTTTCCAATGTCGAGGAGCAAACCACTGACCTAAATTTTGTACATCTATCTTTTTAGTAGAAATAAATCCCTACAAATCCTTATACTTCCTTGTAAATACTTAAACATCTTCGGAAATCTTCACAAATGCTTCCTCGAAATTCTTTATACATCCTTGAAAATCCTCATATATCCTTCATACTTCCTCCGAAATCCTTGCACACCCTTACATATCCTCACTCTGTACTTCACTATATTTACATCATCATAGATCCTGGATAAATCCTCATACATCCTCGCCAATCCGTTCACATCTTCGTACATTCTCATAAATTCTCATACATCCTCGAAAAATCTTAATATATCCTTGAAAATCTTACTTTTTGTACACCTACATCTTCAGTAGTTTTCCCTCGTCCAATGTAATTGAAAATTTATGACAATAATTTTATTGTTTATAATCTAATTTTTATTATATTAATAAAGCTTGAATAGGGGATATTGGCAAATAGTAAGAATAACAAGAGCGAGATATTAAATTTAAGAGAGATAGGACAACACTCCAATTTAAGGAAATTTTGGACCATTATAA